TTGCAGAGTAGTGTGGCGTGAATGGGCCCTAAGAAGCAGCTTGAGAGAGTGTACAAAGCAATACACATATGTGCACGCTGCTCAGGGATAGAAAAACCATAGTACACTACACTAAATAATGTGTGTAACCTATTTTTGGCGTGTACAGAACTTACTAAGTACTGTACACTCCAAACGTATACTGTTTTATATTATAACTCCTGTATCTCTAAGTGCCACTTAGAGATACAGGAGTTATAATATAAAACAGTATACGAATGGATATTGGCAAGCCCCTCTGAGGAAGCTCTGATTGTAGGGTGAAAGCGCGCTAAGACAAGAACGCGTGGAGTTCCTGTCTGTCCTGCTGGACATTCTGCCAATTTTTTCACTCATGTGAAAAAGCCGCAGAGAGTGACAACTGCGAGCAGTTGTGGACAGCCGCAGAGAGTGACAGCCTGTCATAGATATGTACAGGCTTCCTCTCTGCATTGATGTGTACAGGCTTCCTGTCCGCACTGTCACAGGTTAAGGTTTTTTTTTTTTCACAACAAAGTCAACTGGAAGATGACTACAATGAGTAAACATTAGAAAAAAATGGCATGTAGCCTGGACTATCTGATTACATGCTCCCACATATTGAGGCAAGGGTTCTTGATGTTCTCCTTGTGGGCACTCCTTGTCAGTATGTCTTTCAAATTCTGCTAATGAGACATAGTTCAGAGAACACTTGGGATTCAGTTAGTGCATTGATCCAACAATATATGTTTTGGACACCTGCAGGGATGAACTACATGTCTCCAGAAGAGTTTGGCTGTGGTGACCTTAGCTGGCACCACAATAGCAAATTTGGAGAAGTGATTCAAGAACACTAGAGCATAATGAGGCCCAGAAGAAGTTTTGGCGATAGTCAGGAAGTCTAAAGTCCGTAGTTCGAATGGCTCTCCGGTTACAACCAAAGGATGGTGTACTCTATCTTCCTCTTGTGAATGACACAGTTTGGACACTTCTGGCAGGCTTTATGCACCCAGGTAAGTAGCACAGAACAGTAGAGGTATCTCTGAATATGTTTTTTGGTATGTTAAGTACTTACCTGGCCCCCTTGTATGATGTAATATTAGGGAAACTAAAAGAGTTGTGTCCTGACCAATGTGGTGTGCAAAACTGTGCAAGGCCAGAAGACTGGAAATGTGTAAAGTATTATATTCCCAGATGCCAGGCAATATCCAAGGGTGTAGGGGGTGTCCCTAGCTATCTCACCTCGACAGGAATCTAATTCCTAATGCCAAGCCTAACTCTCCCTCACAAGCAGGTCCCTACCTGTACAACTCACACTATGGGTGCACCAAACATGACACAGAAGGGTCCATATAAAACTCCTCTGTTACAGAGATGGCCACCCAAATCTCAAGATGCAGGGACACAGTATAAAACAATAATCAGATATTTGGGGATGGGATACAGTATAAAACACTGTACCAAAGCAATCTGGGTCGGTGACCAGCCGCAATCAGGCAACGGCGACCCTCTATTCAGGCATATTAAGGCCCAAGCGAGCGGCCCTCTAATATTGACAGTGATGGGATACAGTATATGACACTGATCAGGGATGGGATACAGTATTAAACACTGATCAGATATACAGTGATGGGATACAGTATAAAACACTCATCACGGGATGGGATACAGTATATAAAACTGATCAGATATATGGGGATGGGATACAGTATAAAACATTGATCAGATATATAAGGATGTGATACAGTATAAAACACTGATCAGTTATACATGGATGGGATACAGTATAAAACACTGACCGGATATACTGGGATGGGATACAGTATAAAACACTGATCAGACATACAGGGATGGCAAACAGTATAAAACACTGATCAGATATACAAGGATGGTATACACAGTGACGGAACTACCGCCGGTGCCGGGGCACCGGGGCCTAAGGCTGTGGGGGGGCCCAGTGGGGTCCGGTCCTGGGCTCCCCCACAGCCTCAGTGGGGTCCGGTCCTGCTTTTTTTGGCAGTGCACGGTCCGGGTGTTCGAACACCAGGGCGCCGCACTGCCGACGGGCTTCTCACGGAGGGGGCGGGTCCTTTGACTCACCTCCCCTTCCGGCCGCGTCCATAGTAGCATGCGGCGGGAGGGGAGGTGAGTCACAGGAGGCGTGTGTGTGTCACAAGCCCCGCCCCCCTGCAGGCTGTGGTGTATAGCCTCCTTTACCCCTGTTTAATGCTGACGATAGCGCTCCATTATTGGAGGAGAGTGGATCATGTGACGTTGACACTGCCCATGACGGAACTCTCCTCTCTGCCTTTTTTTTCCACTTCAATGTAGATAGTTCTAATCATTTCATTATTATATATGGACTTGTTTTATAACTTTCCATTTGTTTGTTTTTTAGGTGCACACACGTGTTTCAGATGCTTTCTCCAACGGGTACGTTTCCACATAACTCTTTCCTTTGTACAATATAGCATTCATGATGCTGATAGGAAAGTTAGAAACATGAGCAGCAACAGACACCCCCTTCCCCTCCGTCCAAGCTAGTCCCTTAAGGAAAGGTTTGGATTCAGAGAAGCAATGAGATTTTTTTTGGGGGGGCTAAAATGCTTTGAAAGCAAACATTATTGTAGACTATAAAAAGCCCAAAGTCAGATTTCCAAAAGATACAGTATCTAAACCCGAGAATACAAATGGAATATATTTCGGTTTGCCATGCCCTACAAGTCACGGCTGCATTAGTTATTTCCCTTTTAGACTTTGTACGTTGGCAGCAAAAACAAACAAAAAATACTTTTGCCAAAAATGTTGAGTCCTTTTTGTAACTTCCTATGCATGGACACCTGAAACAATGTTATCAGCTTTCCCAGCTATTTTCCGTGAACTACAGAACACCCTCCTCCTGTGTAATGGAGATAAGGAGAGGAGGAGGTAATACACAAACCCTAAAACATCTCCTGTGTATCCAGGGGCGGACCTACCGCCGGTGCAGCCGCCCCGGGGGCCTGAGCCCAAAGGGGGGCCCAGTATCCAGTTTCGGATGATCCGACACTCCCGGCGCAGAGATGAAGGGGGCCCGCCGGTCGCCGGATACTGAGGAGGGAGCCGAGAATAAAAAAAGCCAGCAGACACTGCAGGAGGCAGCCATGGGCCTCGGCCGTGAGGACCAAGCAAGCTGCCTGTGTACACGGACGTGCTGTCTGAGATGCACACACACACAGGGGTGGTTCTCTGTATTTTGTAGTGCTATATAGCAGGTCCCATTCATTTTTTTTGGGGGGGGGGGCCGGAAAAAAAATCTTGCACCAGGGCCCTTTGTTCTCTAGGTCCACCACTTGGTATACAGTATAAAACACTGATCAGATATACAGTAATGGGATACAGTATAAAACACTATTCAGATATACAGTAATGGGATACAGTATAAAACACTGATCAGCTATACAGTAATGGGATACAGTATAAAACACTGATCAGATATATACGGGGATGGGATACAGTATAAAACACTGATCAGATATATACGGGGATGGGATACAGTATAAAACACTGATCAGATATACAGGGATGGGATATAGTATAAAACACTGATCAGATATACAGGGATGGGATACAGTATAAAACACTGACCAGATATACAGGGATGGGATACAGTATAAAACACTGACCAGATATACAGGGATGGGATACAGTATGAAACACTGATCACGGGGATGGGATACAGTAGGGATACAGTAGGGATGTCCCGATACCGATGCTAGCATCAGAATCGGGCCCGATACTGGGCATTTTGACCTTACCTCGCCGAGCGTCGCGTCACTGCTGCTCCAGTGGGCGGCGCTCCGAGCGGGGTCATCTAGCAGTCTCCGGGTCCTAATTTAGGTGGCGGGAGACTGCCAGATGACCCCGCTCGGAGCGCCGC